GCAAGTGTAATATATTTTAGTTTATTGCGTAACGTCCTATGTATTTCATTTAATATTATACCAAAATGGTTATCAGTATAGGTAGATACGTCAATAATGATAGTGTAGTATTTTATTTTTTCCATCATCGGAAATTGTCGAACACACTTACACAGACGAAACAAAAATCCCAAAAAACTGTGATGACCGCTTGGCGTAGGAGTGGCTATGACCTGCACCGCACACGCATACATGGACACACATCTATCATAATAATATATAATATATACATAATATATGTATAACTACATATTTATATAGTAATATGTGAATGCATTTTTCTTTGACGGCAGTGCATAATATTATTATAATATGTTAAGACGATATAATAATAATAATCGTAAATTCGTAATCATTGTACTATACAGCATACGTTGCGGTCGCACAATTTCACACGCACCCGAATATTACTGTGTCCGCAAAGATACTAATCAACGATAATATTATATACCTACCTATACATCTAAAGGTACATCAGACTATACTACAACTATACCGACAAATGTAGACCGAGACTAATTTCTTACTCGACTCGTACAACTGTTGTTGTCGTTGTTATTTTACTATTATAAAATAAATATAAAATATATATATAATTTATTTATACAGGGTGTACCAATACTAACAGAAAGATTTGAAAAATAAAAACGGATGATAAATAATTTAAGAAACATACTTATGTCAGAAAAATCCCACGGAGAATATTTAGAAAAAAGTTATTAGGTATATTATACGTTTCAAATTAATTTACACCAAAGAAATATTGATATTTTAAAAAATAAACTATTTCACTTAAATAAACGTTTTTAGTTTTTGCAATCAAAATTTGTTTAAAAACTATATTTACAAATTGGCTATTTTGAATTTTACCAAACAAATTTTATTACATTTTAAATATTTGCCTTTTTTAAACAAAAAGAAGATAATATATTGTACCTATATGTTGCGCAGGTGTCTATAAATTATTTTAAAAACAAATGTTTAAATATTGATTAGGACAACAGTTAGTTATTTAATTTCTCAAGTATTTTTGCAGTTACACCCTGTGCAATATATATAGGTAAATAAAGTACGAAACGCATTTTATAATTTTTTTCTTCAATCCTCGGAGACAATGCGTGTAATAACAGCACGCGATATTATTATAGACACACGCAAACTGATAGGTATAGGCCGTTTTCACGTGACGTACAGTGTAGTATATTATATTATATTATTATACGTATTAGACATTTGTCCGATGAAGTATCCGACTGCGAAATTCGTTTATCGACGTCTCCCCCGTGGCTGAGACGCAATAAATTGGACGGAGGATCACATCACATATACGTCGTGTAGGTTATATATAGGTACATCGTATAAAGTATAATAAATAATTATCCGCATCAAATCGAACAATACCGCAATAGCACAAGTCTGCGATGGCCATCGGTGTGAAAAAAATTAGCACACTCATTGTGGTGGTGCAGTTTCCGCGTTCGCACCTGACATATTACCATATAGTATATACCGAAAAACAATACGAAATAATCGAAATGATTGCATATAATTATGTAGTATTATAATAATATTATATGTAACATAAGTCATATCATACGGTGTTATACCCGTTGTATTCGTCACACACGTGTTTCAAGAGAGTGATATAATATAATAGTCAATAGTCATATCCATTCGACTTTTATGGATCTTGATGACCGGTCGCATAATAATAATTAAATAAAAATTACTCTCTCGAAAGTTGTCAAAAATCTAAAAATACCTTTAGTTGGACAGTTTATTATTATTTTCAAACAAAAAATATTTTATTGAGTACATTAGTAGCATTAATATCACTAGTTTAAAAATGACAAAATTTAATAATCCGCATGTATAATTGTATTTAACGATTTGTCCGCAATAAAAATAATTGGAAATCGGTATTAAAAAGGATTATCTTTTCAGTTCAATCAGAAAATGAAACATTTTATGATCTATGGACGCTGATCCTACCACAAATGGTTCTCACGATTATAATATTTTAATTTTTATGACGTCGTTTTTCACACGGTCTAAAAAAACATTTTGTTGAATAAGGCCTACAATTTGTTTTAAATTGATTAAACATCTATGTAAACATTTTACTGAATACTATGATTTATGATTTAAATACAAAATTCATGATTAAAAAATACGAATTTAATTAAAACATAGTAATATATGACATAATACGACATAAAATTACCTATTATACACGTGGATGTTTTTAAATGTCTGTTTTATATAAAACTCCTATGGTAAACAGCAAGCATTTGTTTTAAACGTTTTGATAATTGTTTAAAACGAATAAAACAAATGTTTAAAACAGTGTAAATGTAAAATCAACAATTTAATATTGTGGTTTTTTTTAAAAAAACTGTATTTTTGATTTAAATTTTTTTTTTGTTCAAAACGATGTTTTAAACAAAACAATAATTGTTTGAGTTTTAATCTGTTTTAAACAGTTTTAAATATACTGTTTAAAACAGTGTTTTAAACTGCTTAGAACAAAAAAAATACAGCTATTTTTGTTTTTTTTTCCAAAAATTAAAAAATACACCAACTCTAGTTTTGAAACAGTGTCAATAAGTGAAATTTCAATATTGTATTTAGTTTACAAGTACTTAATTGTAAAACAATCTTGTGTATGCATGATAACATTTAAATTTGAGAAGCTTATATCGCTGTTATTAATTATAACAATTTCAATATTATATTAATGTCATCATTATACATTTGGACATCAAATAGGAAGACAGATGCAATTTTAATATTTTTAGTGAGAAGTAACATGATAAATATACCTAATATTATAAATTTATTAAATATACTATTTTATATTTTAACATAAATTAAACATTTAATATTCTTAATACCTAGGTAATTAAACTTGTATGATTTATTAATATTTAATGCAATTATTTGTGTTCTAAAATAATTCTGATTTCCTTACACTATTATTATTATAACGTATTAACTATCACAACTAGTTTGTTAAAAATTTTACAATAATTGTAGTGCAATTTTATTATGTCGTGACTGATAGGTAGTAGGTAGGTACCTACTTATTACTTACTACTCATTTCTACCTACTCGTAAATAAACAACTGCATTAATGTAATAACAATCAGTATATCACCACCTAGGTATATGGTTTATAAGTATATATACGCATTATTTTTATTTTATTTCGATACTAAAATAGTAAAATTTAACTAATAACGATGATTTATGATAAAATTCCATATAATAATATATTTCCATACATTTTATGAATTATTGATAACATTTAATTAAAACTGTGCTTAATTCATAAAAAAATCAATTTAAACCAGTTGTTAAAAATGTATCTTTCTAATCATAACCATCATTGAAAAACTTAACTTTTAAAAAAATACTACATTTTATAAGCCAACAATAGATACATATTGAAATTATTATTTAATTATGATTAAAAAAAATATATATATGTTTTTTATTGTCAAACGTATGCATTTAGATAGTATTATGACATTCAGTTCTTGTAAGAAACCTATTTTGTTAATAATTTATTTTTATAAATATAATGGCGATGCCACTTTTTGACGCAGAATATTGAGTGAATATTTTTTTTAATTTAATTTAGCGTTGAGCTTCAGACAATAGTGAATTGCCAGTTGATAAGTGCACCCAAAATTATTGTAATGCACTTGCACAATATCGTATAATGCACTATAGTCTCAAGCACTCATCTAGACCTTAAATGCTTATTTTATTTTTATTTATCATTAAGCCATACACAATCTAAAATACAAAATATGCACAATATATGAATATTTTATCTTTGATTTATTTTTAACAGACGCGATCGGCATGAAAAACATAAACAATTAAAAAAAAAAATGATTTTTTCACTATTTTATGTAAATAAAATAATTAATAAATGCCTAAGTTGCAATAATAGACAAAACACGATAGAACATTATAGATTATGTGTTATGCTAAATTATAGTTTATAACACAAAATTAGTGTTTACAATATAGGTAAATACTATCCACGATATCAGGCGTTTGTAGAAAGGAAATAAACTACGTGCTTGAGACCTAGATTTCATAATTTTTTCTGGAGAAATTAATTAATTGTCTTATTAATGCTCCCGAACTTTTTGTGTTGCATTATAGTTTCCATGTTCTTGTATTTAACTCACTCAAAACAATTTTATTTTTACATTCCCTTATGTAACACTAATTATTCAAGGAACAATAAGATAAATAATTATTAAAATTATGAGTTTTTCGAATGAGAACGCTTCCTTTTACTATATAGTTATTTAAATTTCCTCAACTATTTACTGAATTTTATTTATGTATAATATTATATATTATATGTATTAATATATTATTATCTGTTATTATTAGACTACCACCAATTTGATTACACTATCATTAATATTATATTGTGTAGTATAACATGGACTTCCACGTTTTGTTTAAAAAAAAAAAAATAGTTATTAATTATATAATAATAATTCTGTTTAAAAACTCTGTGATGTTAACACGTGGACATTGACGTTCTGAACAAAAAACGCCACGACGTTTTAATGATGGTGATTATAGTGCACACACTTTAATAGCATAATATACTGTAACGTCTGTAACGGTTCCAGTGTTCTGCAGCCGTATATTGATAGAGACCTTGCCCCGTTCGGTGCTTTTGCCTATATAAAATACATATAATATATATTATATATAGGTATATCGATCGCAAGAAGATCACATATCATGGCTTTAAATTAGAATTAGTCGCTGCGTTGCGATCATTTTTTACATTTTATCCATTATGGAACCAAATAAAGATACGATTAAACGCGAAACGGCCGTGTCTGCACGTGATGCGCGTTGTCCGCCGTTATAACGATGTATTAATAATTTCTTGTCGTTTTTTTCCTTCTTTACTTACAGACATGACTTGTGGCATAGAATGTATCGACAAATGGCTGACGAAAGCATTTTACAGACTCGGCCTAGTGGTCGCCAAACATCCCGGGTACTTTCTTTTGGTGCCCGTATTTTTGACAGCCATTTGCATCACCGGATTCCAGAGAGTAAAATTCGAAATCGATCCAGAATATCTGTTCAGTCCCGAACAAGGACCTGGCAAGACTGAGCGAGCGATTGTTGAAAGCTACTTTAAGATGAACTATTCGTCACTTTTCAATCCGACACGGATCACCAGACCAGGTACAAAGAGGGCATAATATTATTATAATTTATATATGATATGATATAATGCAAGGCAACAATAATATAATAATTTAAATAGAAATCTCCGTTATTTACATATTTTTAAATAAGTGGTTATTGATTGTTAATTTTCATAAGATTGAACTAGCCTCGCCTAAATGTAATTAAGTGTTTATATTATGTAGGTATTTATGTTTATAAATGTTTAATGCATAGCATTCATTATTTTATATTTTTTATCATGACTGAGACCTGATCTTAAAAGGGGGAGGGGCAAAGCCAAAATATTTTGAAAACACTAAAAAATTAACAACAATAATTTATTTTTATGTTGTTTCAATGTTTTGGCCATTTCCCTTCCCCCTGCCCACTTATAACTATCCCGTCATGGCTACGCCGCTGGTTGAGACATTTAAAATGTCAGTTATAACAACCAAGTGTGCTTAGGTAGTTATAGCAAGTAATACAAATAATAATTTAATTCATAAACAATCTTATATAATAAAACGCTAATAACGCGTATAAGATCCGCGGGGAGCGCTCACGGCACTCCGCGTTTCTTCCATGACCACCAATCACAATACTTCCCGCGCGTTCGCTATAAATTCCGCTCGCTTATCTCCCTTTTCCTTATCGACGAATATTTTCGAACATTATTATTATTATTATTAAAAAAAAACCTGTTTTTCAATTTTTTGACGTGATAATAACGTCTTATAAATCGATTACCCCGCGACCGTCGGGCGGAGTGGGGGGACCCATTAAACGAGTAATTATTTTTGACCAAGTATAACTTAGCCGGTATTCGACTTAGAGACCCCGTACCAATGGGCATCTCAATTTTTTAGGCCCCAGATGAATTTTCAACATTAGGGAACCAAAGCCCCCACCCCCCCCACATTTTGAGTTGAGTATAACTCGGCCGGAATTCAAGTTAAACACCTCGGACCAAGGGGGAACCAATTCTTTTTATGAATACTACCGTTTTCCGCTTTAGGGAACGGGGGCACCTCCTCCCCCCCTTTTTGGATTTTGCTTTTTTGATGGATTTTGGTCCGGGAGAGTACTAACACCCACCTCGCCAAGGGGAAACTCGGGGTTTTGAGTTTTTGATAGGATTTATTGGGATTTTCTTAAATATTGTTTTTATTGATAAGGAAAGTGATAAGAATTTTATTTTATCGCCGCGAGCACGGCGACGCGGCTTAAGAGTCATACATTTACCTCGAAATTTCATCTGAGTAGGTGGCTAGGTTTGTTAGGCGTTAGGATAGGTGACTCGAGGGTCGTGGGTTCGAAACCGCCGTCCGGGATTTTCGGTTATTTGCGGCGGCCGTACCAAATCGAATTTCTTATTTTTGCGTTTTTTTTTTGTCACATTAATCATGTGTTCCGATTTTTTTCAAAATTCGCGTTATTATAATATTATATATATCGGTATTTATATATATTTATTTTGCAAAAAAATAATAATTAACATTTAATTAATACTTGATTTTACCGTGACCAACCTACAATATAATTGTAATGTAGTACCTACTTGATATATTACAGTTTTTAGGTGATTCCGATTGGGTTAAATATTGCTACAGATTATAAATACTGTTTAATATGACTGCTCCATTTGCCGTTTTTTTCGAAAATTCGAGTTTCAGCCCCTTTCGGTCGTTTCACCCTCCCCGTCGACGACTTATTCGAGTTCCCCGCTAAATTTATAGCCGGCGTGCGGCCCTACTTTTCCACAGACGAGTCCCGGTGAGGAGAGGCGTCGCGGAAACGAGAGTAGGTACCGTGTAGGTATCGCTATATACAGGCATAAATACATGCGTCGAGGCGTTTTTTGGGGAGCCGTCACTGCGTTATCTTTCCTCCTTATCACTTTTCACGGTTTTGACCATTTTTCACAATTTTTTTTCAACATTTTTGAGGTTTACCCCCCTCGGGTGCCTCGGGAGGGCCCGTTTGGACCTTATTCGCGTTCCTCGGTAAATTTATAGACGGCGCGCTGTGCTACTTAATTCCCGGCCGGCCCGCGGCGGCAGATATCGCGTGCGATACGAGCGCCGCCGTCGCGCATGTTTTTTGCCGTATTTTTTAAAAAATTCGAGTTTTATCCCCTTTCAGTCGTATCGCCCTCCCCGTTTGGATCTTATTCGCGTTCCCCGCTAAATTTATAACCGGCGCGAGGCCCTACTTTTTCAAAAACGAGTCCCGGCAAGGAGCGGCGTCGCTTAAACGAGAGTAGGTACCGTGTATGGTATCGCTATATACAGGCATAAATACATGCGTCTCGAGGTTCGATTTTCTTCGCGAATCTCGCGACGGTCGTCCGCTCGCCGACGCTGTCGGATCGCCCGCTCAAACTCCATTTGAACCTCTTCTAAACGGCGTTCGCCTTTCGCGGGGACGGCAACGCGGCTTAAGAGTCATAGATTTGACTCAGGTTTTCATCTCAGTAGGTAGTTAGGTAGGTTAGGCGTTAGAACAGGTGACTCGAGGGTCGTGGGTTCAAACCCCCCGGCCCCCGGGAATATACGATAATTTGCGGCGGCCGTGATAAATTAATTTTTTTTTTCGTCGTTTGCTATCACTTCCGTCTTATCATTTTTAACGTAAATGTTCCGATTTTTTTTCAAAATTCGAGTTTTAACGCCTCTACTGACTTCGGACCTCCCCGTTGAAGACTTACTCGCGTTCCCCGTCAAATGATTTAGCAGAGCGGACAGTGTCTTTATTACTATACATGGGCGTGAATATATTATGCGACGAATAGTTCGATTTCTTTTTTTTTCTTTTTTTTTCAAAAATTTGAGTTTTAGCTCCTTTTGGTCGTATTACCCTCCCCGTTTGAATCTTATTCGCGTTCCCCGCTAAATTTATAGCCGGTGCGCGGCCCTACTTTTTCACAGACGAGTCCCGGGAAAGAGCGGCGTCGCGGAAAAGGGAGTAGGTACCGTGTAAGTATCGCTATATACAGCAATAAATACATGCGTCGCGTCATTTTTTGCTGTTTTTTTCTAAAATTCGTTTCTTGGCCCGTTTTAGAGGTATTACCCTGCCTGTTTGGATGTTATTGGCATTCCCCGCTAAATTTATAAGCCGCCGTCGTCAGTACTTCGCTCGAGTCGAGTTCCGCGGAGGAGATCGGGGAGCGGACAGTGTTGTTATTACTTTATACGGAAATGAAAATATGCGACAAAAAGTTCGATTTTTTCATACACACTTTCATACACATAATACATAAGTCATAACACAATGATGCACCATTATAATTATGCAATTATAATTACTAAATAATTTAAAACATCATATGACATTTAATAAATTGGTAGGTAGGTACATCATATATTATATACAGACATACAATATAACAGCAAAATATTATGATAGTAGGTACTTACGAAGATAAGTGCCAAAAAATTGTATAGTGTATTTATTTATACATACCTACGTTTAATATGATAGTATTACATTTCAATAAAATTTGTTATTCACCAATATAATTATCTATTTGTTAATTTGATTTAATTCTCATAATTAAATAAATATACATGGTAGGTATATCAGATTTGAACGGCCGTTTCGAGCACTTTTCGCTGTAGGCGGATTGTCCGTTCGGGAATCGACTTTCACCCGAGATTACTGATAGGCGATAGCTAGACACTCAAACTCAGAACCCGAATTTCCGATTTCAACACACATACGAGAATCGGACATACACGCCCGGTGCATGGTCTGCGATCCGACGTAGTCGGATTGCCTACCTTACTAGCTACTTGCATACGAGCGACTTACACCCCCACTGCATCCGACACTCGGGAATCGACTTTCACCCGAGATGACTGATAGCTAGACACTCAAACTCAGAATCCGAATTTCCGATTTCAACACACACACACTCCATAACCGGACATACACGCCCGGTACATGGTCTACGATCCGACGTAGTCGGATTGCCTACCTAAATAGCTACTTGCATACGAGCGACTTACACCCCCACTGCAACCGACACTCGGGAATCGACTTTTACCCGAGATGACTGATAGCTAGACACTCAAACTCAGAGAACCCGAATTTTCGATTTCAACATTTCCGATTTCAACACACACACACCAGAACCGGACATACCCGACCGGTGCATGGTCTGCGATCCGACGTAGTCGGATTGCCTACCTGGCTGGCTGTGTCGTACGATCGACTTGAATCGCGTGACTTACGACTAGACACTCTTCCGAGTTCAAAAATTACCGCTTAACCAGTGCTGCCAACACGACAAAACACAATACCCGACGACCCCCCCATTCCCGCCGCAAGCTGGATCAAAAAACCCAGCATCGCCGACAAAGATGCACCACCGCCCACACAGTCTTTCCGCCGCAGGCGGGATGACAAACGCCAAAATCTAGTCATTTATATAATATTATATCTAAAATTGTTGTTTAATAATAACGAAAATAATATTTTATTGATTCATAATAAACACTTGAGATATAAAATACTAAAAGATAGAGAGGAAGCCTGCAAAGTATAAAATACGTTTACGAAGTTCTATAAAAATAAAATACTAGAGGGACTAGGTGGCCGAGTGGTCTAAGGCGTCGGTTGCGGCACAGCCGTCGCCGGTTCGATTCTCGGCCACCAGGCGGTATTTTTCTTCAGGCAAGTCACGGGGTCCGGAGAACAAGTGCCACCATCCCCCACCCGGGGCATGGCAGAAACCTACGGGTGCCCCAATAGAAATTCTGCCACAACACACACACGTGTACCAAACCTATCCAATACAACAACTCACCGTTCCACCCCCACCCAATGGTCTATGTTGCCGAGGGTCATCTAATAAAATAAATAAATAAAATGAAATACGTAGCTGGTATCAGTTGTGTGTAAATTATTTTAAATAACATTATAACAAGTATAATATAATGTTTATGAAGCGAAAAAAATTGTCTTACTTAGATTAAAGAAAAGATCAAATAACAATGCATTTTTATAAACTTATAAAGTCTTTTTATGTTCAATTATACAGTTATAACGGGATATTTTAATCATGAAAGTTATTTTATGTTATTCATATCAATCTCGTCTAAAGAAAATATAATAATAGTTTCTCGGTAACTGTTTAAAGAATAGCAATTTTAATATAGATACGTAATATCTATACAATATAATATTATATTCTATGGAAATTGTAAATCTTTAACCTAATATTATATTAAATGTTAAAATATGTATCTAAAGCATAACAAAATAATAATATGATTTTTTTTATAATATAATAATTGAAAGCTTCATTGACTAAATGGAAAAAGTTTTAATGTACATTCATAACTATAGATTTGTGTTCACAATTTATAATTTACTTTACGAATCAATTATTTTTACTTAGTTATTGATTAATACATGGATACCTTCTACCAACTTTAAATTTGAAATTTGAAATCAATAATTATTGACGATTGAACTATTGATTGGTAAAAAAAAAAAAGTTCAGCAGAATATAATTTAATTATGATTATGATTTTATATATTTATTTAATAGATGTATTTAAGAAATAATATAGTTCAGGGAATAATTATTGAACTTACTACTTATTAATATATAGACTTTAATAATTTTACTATGTTTTGATTGAAAAACAAAATATAAAGGGAATTTGATTCATAACATATTTTCTCTGTAATTCAATATCATATTATTATTATATTTCAGGTCGATTTGGTCGAGTAATTGTTATACCTAAACAAAGCGACACTATGTTATCAGTTGAGATATGGAAAGAGCTACGAATACTCGACGACATCATCAGAAATGCGTCGATCACTTGGGGTCCAGAAAACATTGCGTATAAGTACGACGATATATGTGCTCGGTGGATAGACCAGTGTTTTCCAAATGACATCTTAAATCTAGACTACGTGATGAACGACGTGGTCAATGGTAGCTTGAAGCTGACGTTCCCTATCATGTTCAATCCAGTTACGTGGGATGCACACACGTTTCCTGTTTACTTCGGAGGTACTGAAACGGACGAGGACGGGTTGATTACAAGAGTACCGGCGTTACAACTAGTTTACTTCATTACAGCCGATACTAAAGCACAAGATGAAAGGTAACAATAATTAATAATAATATAATACGTCATTTAATTAGTTAGGTTTGTTTTTTTACCTAGGTACAATGTACCTGGTACATCGTACGAGTACTTTAATTGATATTAATATTAATGTTGAGGTTATTAACACTAACAATCATTAAATCGACCACGTGCGAAACCACAAATGCAATGATAAAAACATCTTCAATGTACTGTATATCATCGGCACCTATTTATATTCATTTTAAAGTCATTATATTATTATGATTACAGATTTAAAAAATATTTTAGTTGAATATTGTTTAATATTATGTAATATAGTATTACTTATTATTTATATTTAATTATTTAAGCAATATTTAGACTCAAAGTTCTTACTATCTTTAGAATAATTCTTTTACAAGGCGATTATGAACTTTTTTTGAAAGTTCAAATGTAAACCATACAGATCCCTACCGAATAATTGACTTACCTATATCTTACATATAATATAAAATATATACAACGTATTATTAAGTGATTTTGTATAATATTAAATTGACTGTCTATATTGTTATTAGTCCAAACTCCAAAGTAAATTATTAATGAGTTTAAAATATTATAATAGGCACTTACAGAATACATAATATAGTAACAGTGTGTTCCATGGATTTGTAAGCCATTAAAACAAACTATTTCATTTTATAGTTTTGTCTGCACTATTACCTTTAACGTGAAAAAAAACTATAAAACTCTCGGTGGTATAATATTATGACCTACAAAATCTTAACTTTCGTATTTTAACTTATTATCTATTCTAACACATATGTTTTTCTAAATTATTTGAAGTTAGAAAGTACATTTTACAAAACTACAATTTATATGAGTTGTAAACAGCTTTTTAAACGCAATTATGCGTTTATGCATTTTAAGTTGTAAAAACTAGATCAATCATTCGTTCGACACTACATATAGGTAATAATGTAATATTATTATTTATTTAGCTAAATGTTGACGAAAATATCATATTATTTTACTGTACCTATATTAGCATAGTATCAACATAGTACCTACATTGTCGAAGAGCCTCAAAATGTAAACCTATTAAATATTTTAAATATTTTAAATAAATAACATTCTACGCGCACCGCCCGACGTAACAGGTTGTCCGTTCGTAACCGATTTCCTACGCGCGTTCTGTGTTCATATTCAAACCTCGGGCATGGCGCCCATTAAAAAGCCGTCTAATCCTACTAATAACACCGCTTACAAACGAACAGCTAGCATAGCTCTTTCACCTCGGGAAAACATCAAAAACAAGTTCTCACCTTTATTGGACTTAGCAGACACTGACAACGACCAATCAGACAACATAGAAATTGATACGCCGGAGGTAAGACAAAAAATACCACCTCTCTATGTTTACGATATCACAGATTATATTCACTTTCGCGACACAATAACACCTATGATAATAGATGAGTTTAGCATAGCCAACAAAAATACTGTCTTGAGACTTAATCTCACATCAGTCGATGACTACCGCACTATCACTAAATATTTCACCGAAATCAAAATAAAATATCACACGTATCAACTTCCAGAAGACCGAAACTTATCCGTAATAATTAGAAACCTCCCCACATCTATACCTGAAGAACAAATCTTTAACGCAATTACCGATCTAAACTTCACTGTTGTCTCAGTAACTCGACTCCAAAATAAATATAAATCTCCCATACCGATAGTAGCGGTACTACTTGAAAAAACGGCAAAAGATATTTTTTCAGTAGACCGTCTACTAAACTGCATTATATCTATTGAAAACCGTAAAACTGATTCTAACATACCTCAATGCCAAAATTGTCAAAGATTCCAGCATACCAAAAACTTTTGTAAACTTCCGCCCAGATGCGTAAAATGTTCGGGAGATCATCACTATTCCGCCTGCACAAAAGACCCATCTACCCCCCCTACCTGTGTAAATTGTCTGGGGAACCACCCAGCCAATTACCGAGGTTGCACAGCTTACAAACTACTAAAAAATAAATCTCGTCAAACAAATTCAAAAAACACTACTACCCATAAGCAGTCTGATACCGAAGTTAATATATACAGCAACAATCATGCATCCACGTCACAAAATGTTGCTCATAATCACCTCTCTCAGAATAGCACAAACCCACCTGTCTTCAGTAATATCAACAAGCAGTCCTACGCAGAGATAACAAAAACAAATACCTACGAACATCGGCAACCACCTCCCTCCCAACCAAATATCCAAAGCGAGCTTCTGCAGTTACTAATGCCCACCATAAATTCACTTTTACAAGAAATTATAATAAAAGTCATCGAATATATCCCAACGTTATTAAGTCAAGCAAATGGCAGTCAACTTCAATAATATTAATAATGCTAATTTAGTTATCATAAATTGGAATGCCAATGGCCTTAAACAAAACAGAAATACTTTTGCTGCATTTTTGAACTCTCACAATGTAGATATAGCCTGCATCAGCGAGACGCATTTAATTAACGCAGATAAAATAAAATTTAATGGCTATGTCACTTATCGCAAAGACAGATTAGCAGTTCGACCTTCAGGCGGCGTAGCTATTATAATTAAATCTAAAATAAAACACCACCACACATTTATACCTGTTCTGCAATCATTGGAAGCAGTGGCAATTACTATATCTATAAACAATGTAATTACAACTCTAATTAGCGCCTATCAATCTCCAAGTTTTAAAATGTTCACAAGTGATTTCGATAAAATTCTTTGCAGTTTTCAAAAAGTAATGATTATTGGTGACCTGAACTCCAAACACACCACTTGGAACTGCAAAATGACAAATCAAAATGGTCGTAAATTACATAAATACATTTCAAATACTTCAGCAATTATATCTGCACCTGAGTCCCCGACGTATTATCCATATGACCAAAATAGAAATCCTGACATATTAGACGTAATATTATTAAAATCAATACCTCTATCAATTCATCAAGAGCCCTTATTTGAACTTGACTCAGACCACCTGCCTGTTAAAATTACAATAGGGGGCGCCCCAAGTGTACCTACAAAATCACGTAAACTTATAAACGGCAAACCAAACTGGGAAAAATTTAAAACCTATATAACTCACAATATAAAAATCCCAAAAAACATAAATAACTCTTCTGCAGCCGACGAAGCCACAAACCATTTCCAGGAAATTATTCATCTAGCAGCGGAACACTGTTCAAACCCGTCGTGTAACATATCTCAAAATAATACTTTTTCTCAAATACCTACTTCAATTCTAAAATTGATAAAAATAAAACACCGTACCAGAAGATTGTGGCAGCTCCATAGGCGAACTGAAGACCGGAAAAATCTTAATTATCTTACCAAAAAAGTCAAAATTTTACTCGAAGAACTAAGAATAGCTTCATACCAAAATTATTTATCTACGATTCATCCTTCGGACTCAAACCTGTGGCTCACTACCAAACGTTTAATCAAGCCAAACGCTAGTGTTATGCCCCCGTTAAAATCTGATAACGTCTACCTAAACTCAAATGCTGAAAAATGCGAACTCTTTGCCAAAACCCTTGAAAATACTTTTTCACCGAACAATATTGTTGACACCGAAATAGAAACCGCGGTGCACAACAAACTAGTGGAACCAGATATTCATCCACAAAACATACTTCCCTACACCACTCCTACTGAAATTAATGAAATAATAAAAAGATTACCAAACAAAAAATCTCCAGGACACGATCTCATCACAAATGCTATATTAAAAAAAATCCCAAAAAAAGCAATCACATATTTATCTACTTTATTCAATTCATTAATGAAAATCGGCCACTTTCCAACTGAATGGAAAAAAGCCACAATTATAATGATAAAAAAACCTGGAAAAGATAACAAAAACCCCAACAGTTACCGACCCATTAGTCTACTATCTTCAGTCTCCAAAATATTTGAAAAAATCATATACACCAGGCTAACAAAACATCTAGACGCAACTGAAGCCATTCCACATCATCAATTTGGTTTTAAACCACTGCACTCAACTACTCAACAACTCCTCCGCCTAACTGAACACATAAATAATGGTTTTGAAAAAAAACTTCACACCGGTGCAGCCTTCTTAGATATTGCGCAAGCATTTGATCGTGTCTGGCACGACGGCCTACTATTCAAACTAAAAACATTAAATACCCATCCTACCATCTTTAATATAATTAAATCCTTCCTCTCTGAGCGTTGTTTTGTAGTTCGCATAAATGACACCAGTTCTGCAATAAGAAAAATAACTGCCGGTGTTCCCCAAGGATCCAAAATCTCTCCCCTGCTTTTTAATTTATACATCGCGGACTTTCCCACAACATCTAACACAGAAGTTTCCCTATACGCTGACGACAGTGTTGTCTATTCAAGCTCCAGCGATGTCCACATTATCACTGAAAATATACAGAGCCACTTAAACAAAATAAAATGCTGGGCGAAAAAATGGAAAATTATCCTAAACCCCTCAAAAAGTACGGCAGTATTATTTACACTTCGTCGTCCCAATAACCCTCCCTCTCTAGTACTTAATGGCGACATCATATCATGGTCTCCAACAATAAAATATCTAGGAGTTATCTTAGACAAAAAATTAACCTGGAACCCTCACATTTCTTCGAAACTTCAACAAGGCTACCAACGACTTAAAATTCTTTATCCCTTAATCAACCGTCAAACCGCCCTAAGCTGGAAGTGCTCCATGCTTCTTTATAAGCAAATTCTTCGACCATTAATACTCTATGCTGCCCCTATCTGGGGACAATGTGCCAAAACTCACATAAATAAAATTCAAGTCTTCCAGTCCAAGATTTTACGCATAATATCCAACGCGCCGTGGTTCGTCAGAAACGAAGCACTTCATACAGACTTCAGACTCCCGATGGTTAAATCCTACATACAGAATCTCTCAGTCAACTTCTTTGGCCAACTAAACAACGCCAAAAGTGCAAAATATTTCAAACTCAACGACAAGCCTA